AGATTTCATGGAGTCCCTGAATGATCCTGTCTATGTAAAATTGAAGGATCAAATTGAGAAAGGCACGGTCAGATGGTACTAGTTGGAAGACGGGTTACTTTATGCTAAAGGTAGACGGGTTTATGTACCAAGTGCTGGGAAATTGAGACGGCATTAGCTGTGAGAGACTCATGATGCAAAGTGGGCTGGTCATCCAGGAGTTGAAAGATTGAGGACTTTGCTATCTCATAGGTTTATTTGGCCGAAGATGGAAGATGAGATTGAGGCTTATGTTAAGTCTTGTCTCATTTGCCAGTTGGATAAAATAGAAAAGAAGAAGGAAGTTGGTTTGTTGCAACCTCTGCCCATTCCAGAGAGACCATGGCAATCGGTTTCGATGGGCTTTGTTGGTGTATTCCTAAAGGTAGAAGGTATGGCTTCCGTTCTTTTTGTTGTTGACAGTTTTTCTAGGTATGTTGTTTTTATGGCAGCACCTCATGCACGCCCTACTGATAAGGCTGCTGAGTTATTTTTCAAGAATGTAGTGAAGTATTTTGGCTTGCCGGAGGATATAATCATTGATAGAGATACGAGATTTACTGGCTGGTTTTGGACTTAATTGTTTAATACGATGGGGTCTCAGCTGAAATTCTCTACTGCGAATCATCCACAAACCGATGGTCAGATGGAGAGGATCAATGGTTTGTTGGAGGAGTATTTGAGGAATTATGTGACAGCCAGTCAGCGAAATTGGTTTGAGTTGCTAGACGTTGCGCAATTTTGTTATAATCTGCACAAGTCGTCGGCAGCTGGTTTGAGTCCTTTTGAGTTGGCAAACGGGCAGCAACCTTTGACTCCACACGAAGTTGCTGTCCAGACTACTGGTGGGAAATGTCCTGCGGCATATCGGTTTGCTAGGGCAAAGAAGGAGCTGGTTGATGAAGCTCGAGACAGTTTGCAAGTTGCCCAGCAACGGATGAAGAAGTATGCTAATTCTCATAGACAGGATGTTGAGTTCCAGGTTGGTGATTTAGTTTTGTTGAAAATTACACCTCAGATTTGGAAGAAAATCAGTATCAAATTGGTTAACCGTGGCCTGGTGCCCAAGTTTGATGGTCCGTTTGAAGTTGTTGAAAGAGTTGGCAACGTGGCTTATTGGCTTAAATTGCCAGACCGGTTGAAAGTGCACCCCACATTTCATGTTAGTTTCTTGAAGAAGTATGTTGAGGATGGTTCTGATCCTGATAGGCAGCAAGTCAAACGAGCTCCGCCCGTGATCAAGAAGCAATTTGAGAAAGAAGTGGAAGCTATTCTGAATCATGAAGCTTTGGGGCAAAGCAAGAAGAATAGAAGGACAAAGTATTTGGTGCATTGGAAGGGTGAAGATTGGCTAAATGCCGAGTGGATTGATGCTAAGGACTTGTGGCAATTTGAGGATAAAATTGCTGAGTATGTTGCAAGACATTCTGAGTTGTCGGGAACGTCAATCTCTCTAAGTGGGGGAGGTCTGTTAGACCCCTAAATCCTTAGTCTGCATTTCACACTCCTCCGGCATGCATGTGATGCGGGAAATCAAGTGGCGGTTGGTGCTGGTCCCATGTTTTGTCGGGTTGGCTCTTGAGTTGGGCTGGAGCGGAACGGTGTTGCAGGATTTTGTGGCATCGGCATGCTGGTTACCGAGTTTTGGTAAACCAGCGTGGCTGGCAGAGAATGCTTTCTAAGTAAGGATGACCCGGGCGGTTACCGGCGGTTACCTTTTTGTATGCTGGCTTTGTACCCATGTTTCCTGTATTCCTTGGGCAGTTATAACTGTCGTCCAATGTATATATCTCGGATTTGGCTTAGCTAGCAACCCATTTGAGAGATTTGGGAATTGTGATGTGCAAGTCTTGGTGTATTTTCTTGTATTGCGAGTTTATAATTCAAGGTTGGGTTTTTACCCCTAAATTCTGTTGCCTGCTTGCCTTTTTCATTTATGCACGGTTTCTATTACTTACAAAGTGGGTTGTGAGTATTGAATCGAGGCATTCTCTGCCTTGTTCTTACTGGAATCCATAGACGGTTAATGGGGGTGTAACAATATCCACATTGAAATCATATAAGTCTCTCTAAAATAGGTGCACAGAGATTTTAATGCTTATGGGAGATGCAAGGTCTGGTAATAGTTTATCATGTTAGTTTTACTTTAGGAAAATTGATTATAAAACCAACTTGATCGTATGTTATTTTAAATGAATGTTGATGCAAATTTCTTCTCTGGAGTAAGTGCACGCATGGTAGTTCCAAGATTTTCTTTGGAAAGGCTATCATTTTTTCTAACTTTTTGGAAGATTCCAGTTTCTCGAATTTTTTGAGCCGAAATTTCTTGATTCTTCATTGAAGGTGTTATATTAGGATTGAGATTGAGGACTTGTTTCCTTGACTTCACCTCGAAACCGCATTACGATTGTTGGATTGATGTTCTTGATTCCAGCAACAGGCAAACCATAGTACGATCTCCTTCAAATTTAACCCTCAATCCACAATATGTATCGACCACCTGAAATCTCTGAAGTGTTTAAGCAGAACTAGAAAATTAGTGCAATGGGTGATGAGAGTATTGGAATAGATTCCAAATCCAAGCATAATCAAGGAATTAGTTGCATAAAATTTTCAAGAACTAGATGCGGTTATCATGACATAATCTAGGTTATTTTGCTTCAATTATGTGATTTCATTCATACTAGTCTTTTACCTGTCGCGCGTTGCGTGACCAGTGTTTTTATCGAATCATTTTATACCATTCTCGTTATTGAAAGTGATAAGTTACGGTGAATTTAAATTAAATAGAATGTTTGGAAAATCTTAAAATGTTTGACTAAGGAAATGCATACATATGTGAAACTTTTTACCTAATGGACTTCCAAAAAGGAAAAATGAAATCATTCGATTACAAATGAAATAGATCATTGTGTGAGTAAAAATCCAATGGAATAGACACATCATGTTTGAAAACTCTTCCATTGGGCAAACATGATAAAATTGTGTACATGGACATTCTATTTATAATATGTGATATTAATTTTAATTTTCATAAAAGTTTGTTTTAAATTTTGATTTTGTTGTTGTAAAAATGATCAAAACCAAATATATGATTTTCGTTTTGTTTTGGGTTACAATTTTGATTTTGGTGTCGTTGATATTTTATTCTATATTTATTTGTACTTTATCATGTGATATGATAAATGAATGATCATGTAACTAACAATTTAATACTTGACAATTGTGAAACAAAATCAAAATAATTTTGTGATTATGTAGTCTATATTATACGTATTTTGATTTATATTTGTACCAAAATAATTAGCTAGAGTGAAGTAGTTCCCTCAACCTTGATTGATTTAGACTCCGCAAATGTCTTTGCATCAGCACATTTACATCAATTTCATTTCCCTTCTCTGCAGCAGGAGTCCTCTTTATTTTTTTAATTCCTCCAACACCACTATTTTAACTCTATCGATGGAATTCAGTAGTTTCTTTTGTGGTGTGAAACCTGATATCAAATAATATCTTCGATACTGATATGGAAAGACTCTCGCTACAACCTTTTTTACACATGAAATATATATCCCAAACAAACAGTCTATTTATATCTAATGCCGATTTCACTAGCGTATCCGCACAGAGGTAGCTAGCTCGAGAAGTGTGTTCGAATCAAACTTCCTAATTTTTCATGGATGTGCCTAAGGTCTAGATCCAGGGAAACTATAGAACTTTGTTTCACTTTTTTGGAGTAGCTCTATAGCCACACTCGAATCGGATTCCACCAGCAACCGTAGGAATCACTAGTTTTTAGAGTTTTCATAGCCAACAGAATGGCCCTGAGTTCTGCAGTTTCAATTGAACATGTCCCTAATGGCATACAAGCAGCACTCAAAGATCTTCCTTGATCATTTTTCATGATAACTCCTGCAGCTGCCTTTTGTGAAAAATTATATGCCGCACCATTGCAATAAGCCTTGACCCAAGCCGTCGGTGGTTTTTTGTAGTTGGGACACTCCTTTTGCTTCCCATCCTCCTTTTTCCACCTAAGGATGGTTCTGTTCCTTCTGATTTCATCCATACGGTATGAAGCAATTCTCACCACCTTTTCTGTTATGAAGCTACTGCCATTGAACACTTGATCATTGCACCAATTCCAAATTGACCAGCATGTTATCCCAAACTTAATTCTCCAGTTCCAATCATCATCATCCAAATTCGAACCCAACCATTCTTTTAACTCCTGCTGATGAGCTTTTCAGTGATGGCAAAATCTTCCTAATTGAAGTTAAGAGGAAATCAGTCTCACCCCACCAAAGACGCCATTTTCTTCAGAGCCCTCAAATTCTTAAGAGGAAAGTTGTGTTAGAATGCTTGTACATATTAAAATTTTCCCACAATAGCACTGCTACATAACAAATGAATATGCAAGTTTAGCCTTTCCATTCTAGAAATTACTCTCAAGCTGTAGTGAAGCAAATTCAGTCATCAAAGTGTTCAAAAGGGAGCCTATGTAGCCTAATACACAAGATCAAATACACTGTAGATCAAGTGAATCAAGATAAATTTAAAATACTTTTTTCAGCTTCGCAAAGTAGTTTAAAAAGACATTTCATAGTACTCCATGATACTTTTTACAGCTATGCTTTAAAGTTGCAGACAAAGAATGTTAATACTAATGTTGCACGCTTCATCAACCAGTTTGGAGAACATCTAATAGGACTCATATTTGATATGTGCCTAATTTGAAACTCCTAAGCTAGCCAAATTCATGAACCAAAGAAACATGTTATCCAAGCGGAGTCCTCAATTTTGAAGCTAAGGCTTCATCCAAAAACTTCATTGGCTCAAAATTAGGGTTATACATGTTTACAAAATGAGGCTTTTATTTTTGGAAATAAGTAATAAACGGAAGGAAAAAATAAATTTCAAAGAGACCTTGAGATGCAGTATTCACACACATACCGTTTGATCAGTCGTTTATTTTCAGCTCAATTATTTTATTTCCATTTGGGGAGCACCAGCTTTGTCCGCAGCCAATTCTGCAACCTTTTTTGCACCAGCTTCATGCCTGTCCGAACTCTTCCATTGTAACTCGAAGAGCGAGAGAAGTTCGGGATCCAAATTAGAACCCACAGCGAATTCAAACCAGATCCGACAAATGATGCAGCTATAACAGCAGCAAAGCCGTTCCCACCCTTCCCATCATCATTAAAGATGGGAAAGCTGCAAATGAAGAAAAATGATCAATTCATTGATGCATGATTGAATTTTAATTTAGTAGAGGAGCACAAGAAACCTTGTAAGGACAATAGAAAGAACTGGGGTAGGAGAAATGCTCAATATCAGACCCTATACAACTTGAAAAGATATGATGAATCTCAGCCAAAAAAAAAAAAAGAAAAAGAAAAAGGTATGATGAACTGATATACCTTCACAACCCTTTAAAAATTTTTTCACAACCCTTTCGCCTTTAATTAAACACACAGAATTAATGTTACTTCTCGCAACTACAAGTTAAACGGGAAAAAGACAAGAAAATAACATAGTATTTTTTTTAATCAGACCCCTTGGAAGGAATGCCAAATGCTAATTCTTCATCATCATCGTCATCTTGGTCTTCGTCATTAATCCTTTGTATATATCCTTCGCTTGATCGCTGAGATCAAATTGTTTGAACCAGATAAAAAAAAAAGTTTACCTCAAGAAAACAGAATAAACTGAAACCAAAAGACAAAGGATAATTTGGAAAATATAAGGCTTACCTTAAATATGGATCTTATAAGAGCTTCCTCTTGTTCATTCAGCTTTCTTTCCTGTCAACATAAGCGTTGAAATTACACATCAAATCCCGTTTAGATTGAGAAACTTTATTCAGCTACATATGATAGAGCACTGAAAGCAAAGACATCCTTGTTTCCCACTTAAACATTACATATCTAGTATGTTGTCCAATACTTAATGTGTATCTATATATGAGATTTGCAAGCAAATAACTTGGTCAAATTACGCACATGAGTAAGTAACATAGATCAACACAATCTTTAAAGGTTCTGTAGAATGCCTTTAATTGGAATAAGGGGCCTTACAATAGGAACACTGAGCCACAATCTAAAAGAGACTTGATAATATATCCAGGCCGTGTTTGAACAGGAATAAGTTTATCCATAACCTAATTCTGTGTCATGCCTACATGTTTAGACGCTTGCATGGTACATCAGATACCCATGACCAAACAATGTTGTTTCCCAAAAGAGGAATACATGGTTGAACCTCAGGTTTCAAAACCATTTCGGTCCAAGTCCAATGATATTATAAAAGGAATGCATCAAGGAAATCAAAATAAACTTGCAAAAACCAGTTTCTTAATGTATTCTTTTAAATAATATAGAACATCAGAACATATTAACAATAACATTAGTGTCAAAAACATATTGCAATCATTTAGCGAGTCTGAACGATGTAAATTTCAAACGTAAAATCAGATAGATTTTAGAAATTTAATATTTAAATTAAAATGAGAAATTTTTAAAGACAGACAAATAGAATGCATTCAAGACTGAAAACACCAGCATCAACCTCGTAGCTTGCCCTCCTTCAAGTGTTGCAGAACAATAAGCATACGCTCCACGCTGACAATTGTTTGTCTTGACTGAAAATAAAAGAAGGAAAATACATACGGAGAGAAAATGGTAGTAACCAGGTTTCAGGATCTAACACCAGCAGCTAGATTAACATCAGGTGCTCTAACATACGAGATATACATAATTGAAGGTAGAATAATAAACACGGTCGAATTAATAGAACTAATCCAACTCAAAAGGAAGCAAAGGCAGCCTGCTTTCGGTTCCAGCATAAATCCAACCATCTTACTTAAATTCTAAAATCAAGGAAAACTCCTTACAGTAAACGAAAATTATAGAGAACTAATCCAAACTTTTCACTACCCTTAAGAAACCCACATGGAAACTCTAATAACAGAGCTATTTAGAACCAGCCACTGCCGGCAGACACCAGAAAATCAAAATTCAATATTCTAGGGAAGAATAAGGGCACACAAGTTTGATAAAACTCACCTTTAAAGCGACCTAATCGGATAGATCAAAGTCAATCCAAGGTTCAAAATTCAGCAGAATGTTTAAATTTGTCCAAGAGGGATTACAAAAGGGAAGTACATAATGGAGATTGAATACAAATTTGAGAGGAAGGAGGAATCGGGCAGGAGCTCGGGAGGTCAATATCATCAGAGATCATCTCACAATAAACAAAAAAACTCAGACAAGTAAAGCGCTTATCTATCCCTTCTACATGGATCATAAAATAACCCACACGGCTACAACACAAAGCATCTTGCAGAAGGAACAGTTATCCCAAATTCAACAAACTACAGGAAACTAATATTCAACGAACTAAAATTCAATCTTTCTATCAGATACCTTAGAAGTGTGGTCCTCAGTGCCCATAAACAAAGCCAGTATCTCCTAAGCCTCTGAAACTTGTCAGTCTATACCGATCATCTCTATTTACTACTTTTACTCCGCTTGAGAACACCTCTACCGAGGACAGTGAAAATATCAGATTGAAAGCAGATAGGATTGAAAAAGGCAACGCAAAGCCTTCAAATTGTATCTCCTCCACCGAACAGCGAAGAGAACAACCCCAAATTGGGAAAAACGGATACAATCCAATGTAAGCATTGTAATTATTAGGGAAAACAGATTTCGTAGTTCTAAGGGCATACAAATTGTAGTTGTAGGGGAAATAGGACATAGCATGGGAAATTTCCTAATCAATAATCGGTGATGACGGTGAAGGAGGTTGATTAATGAGGAAGTGTTGGTGGTGATGATTACGTTTTCTTTGTTTTTTTGGGGGATTGTAGGGAGAAGGGATGACATCGTTTTCTTGTTTGGGGGTTTTTCCCGTCAAAGGCTTATCGGTTTTTTTTTATTGGGATATGCTGAATTTATGAAATCTTGATTTTAACTCTAATAAGTCGCTGACGTCATATTTACCCCATCCGACTGCCGAGATCAATTTGAAGGTGGCCCTGAATATTTCTTGGGCATTTAATTTCTTGTCTACTGTGCCTTTTTATTAAGTACTAGTCTTTTGGTGTCGCGCGTTGCGCGACCAGTTTTTACTAATACTTGTGTAATATTAAACGCAATTAAGCATATTTAGGAAAACATATTTCTTTGTTGGACTTAGTAATATGTAATCGGGGAATATTAAATGTTATAAATATTTCGTGTATGTTTATAACAAAAAGAAACATTAATGTTTATGTTTAATATGATGGAAATTAAACTAAAAAAATGTATTTGAGATATGCAGAGGAAAAAAAGAGGTATAAATTCAGTGTCAAGCTGACCTCATGTCGGTCGCTTATTTATTTGATCGGCGTAACTTCAGTGTTGTTGTCCTCAGGTACTTCATCTGCGAGTTGGTTATCAGCAATGGCATCACAAAAGAACCGTCGTCCTCAATTAAATTGTTGACGTAGTAATCTCAAAGCCCCCTATACATTCTTTTTGATCCTCTCAGCTGCAATAGAAATTTTTTTTTCTAACAGCTCATGTATTTCTTTAAGGTTTATCGATTAAAAAAAAAACAAATAAGATATTAAGGACGTGTCATTTATCAATGCATATATAAACGAAGGAAACATTGGATTTTTGAAACATGCGTGTTTTGGAACTTGAATAGCTGAAACGAAGAATGTGCATACCTTTTCAGGGTTCTCGATGATTTCTGTTGCAGTGAAACCCAATATCTTTTCTGCGATGCTACTGAAAATGCTAGCTTGGATTGATCTGCTCTCGTCATGAATGTTAGCTCTTAGACGACACCTAGAATGACAACAGTAGGATTTAGGAATATTTTGAAATCATCTAATCGGCTAAAATGTCAATATAATATTTCTAATTTTCCATATGTTTCAGAACTGTATCTTAAGAAATTGAAATTGACATACTTTGGGTTGGTTGCAAATTGCTTTAATGACCACTTGTTGTATTTGAAATCTTGTTGATACATTGATGATGTTCCAGTGCCGCATTCCTTGCAAGCCATGTAGTAGAATGGTTGTGGTATGTCTCTGAACTCAACGTGGACTTTGACTAAGATATCCTAATTTTTTTTGGCAAAATTTAAAGCTTAGTTAATTTGAATGAAGAAATATGAGAAGAACTAAAGCACGTTGCATAAAGCGTATTAGGAACCAAGCGTGTTAACCTGTTGTTCATCATCGATATGTGTGACTGGAGTGATTTGTGAAAGGTTTTTGTGACTGATGCCAGGAGTAGACGAGAATGATGGTTTATTCTGCAAGAAAAGAACGATTTCCTTCCTGTTTTATTGTGACCTGAAAAAGTTAAAAAGGTAATTAATATACTGAAAAATTTTGTAAAAGTTGGTGTAGAAAAATAAAAATATATACCAGTTCCTCAATTTCCTTGCTTTGTCAGAAGGAGGATTGATCAAAACCACCAATCTATGTGAAGTTGTTACCTCAATTCCTGATTAATATGAGAATTAAATTATCAGAGAACAAGTGTGCAGAAAAAGTATGGTTGAGGAGTCTGTTTTAAAAAGGGCTTTTTAGTGTACCGTTGTATGCAGAGATAATCATTCGGCGGCCAACGACGGTTGGGTAACTCTTAGCTCGAACTTGTTCAGTTAATAATATTCCAACATCCTGGTGGAATTCTTCCCAAAGAGACAATCTCACATATTGCAACCTGATTGAGAAGGCAGTACCGAAATTAAGTGTTAGCTACTTTATCAAAATATCATGATTAAATTCCGTAAACTAAAACAAAGAGGTGTATTCCGAATTAAATATCTAGCAAACCTTTTGCTACCGTTTCAGAAAATGAGATGCAACATACAAGTGTAACAATAGTACATGAAAACAATCACAAAAGGACAACAATAATCAGACTATCAAAATGGAAAGCAGCTCATAAAATTACAGGAGTATCATCCTTATAATTCTGATGGGAACTTCACAGAAAATAAATTTGGCATTTCGAAAAAGCATTATATAAATAATTCAAAAACCATTATATTGAACTTATTTTTCATTTAGCTTACAAAATTTTTGGATCATTCTTTTTTTCCCTTTTCTTGTCATAACAGTTTGTGGGTAGTTTCTCTCGACTATGACACCAATAACATCTGTAAGAAAAAAGGTTGTTTAAAAGAGTATAGATCAACATAAGTTTTCTATTTGATAATAATGTTTAAGTAAAACAAATACACTTCCCAACAAAACCATCTTGAACACCAGCAAAATCATTAAGGGAATCAAAGGGCGTGTATTGCTCCTTGGTCACAAGAGTAGTAATAGGTTCGTTAACCTCTTCAACAACCGTCCCAATACCAATGACCCATTGTTTGGAAAGACCACGAGACCTATACTCTGGTTCAATGTACCGGATAGGTGCGTTGGAGACTCAGTATTTTCTACACGTCTGGAATCTTGGTCCCATGATGCTGACGGCTTGTCCGAACAAAATACCTTATACTTTAGCACCCTACAATAATAAATCAAATATTAATATTATGAATATGTGAGATGAAAATTAGTATGACAACTAACAAATATAGATAATGTAATTCACCTTTTCATCGCTGAATACCATCTTTTGGGTTTTAGTATAGTGGCCGAATGGATTTCGCTTCTCCTCGACAGTAACAATAGCAGTCCAAGGCTGATCAGAGTCGTTGAGCTTGTCAATTTCAACCTTGTTTGCAATCATCTTTGGTGCACAAGGAGCCATTCTAAAAAAATTTGCAGGAAGGAAAAAAAAACAGGTATGAATAATAAGCAAGAATTTTTGGGATGCCGTAATTGGAAATTCGATTGGGATGTCATTCTATTTATGAGGGTTGCTGTTTTTCTGTAAGCGACTCAATCTCTCAATGTCTCCTCATGTTCTGAAATTGTTGTTGCTGCATATTTTTGAAATTTCTGTATTTGTTTCAATTGAGTTGTTATGCAGTTTATTTTGGAAACTTCAAAATGTCTTGCTTTAGATAATGTTGCGAGCTTTTTGTTTGTAATTGAACCAACTTTTTGTGTAGTAACTTAGCACAATATGCAAATCTAATTGCCCTTATTCATATTACATAAGGTGAAAAGGCTACAACACAGTGGTCTCTTGTGTTTTGCCTTGATAAAAAGGAAATAGTTTTGCAATGTAATAATGTAATAATGTTGTTGCTTATTGATTACTATCGTGAATAGTACAAGCTGTTAAAAGATCTAGCTATTTTTTCTCTTTGGGTAATGATTCATGACAACTGTTTTGCTTTTTTAAACTTGGGCAGGAGCATCAAGTTGTTGTTGTTGTTGTTGTTGTTGTTGTGCGGGAGGATCAACATATGACATCTTCATTGTCGCATTATTTCATATATACAAGTCACAATTCGTACCTGATAGGGAACCACATTAGCAGTGATTGTGGTGATGATCCAATTATAAAAGCATTAGAGAAAGGTTTCAGAGTTATTGAATTGGATATATGGTCTAATTGCCGAGATACTGTGGATATCTATCATGGAATTACACTTGCACTGCTGTTGTTGACTGCAGGAAGTGCTGGAGTTGCGATTGCAGATGCAACTGTTTCCCGCTACGTAGCACAGAATGGTGGCATCATTACCACCATTCTCATAACTTTGTGATCAATCTGTTTATTGCCTAAATTAAAACAAAAAAGAAAAGATCATAATGAATATTTGTGAAACTATATTTTAGTTTTAAAAACAAAATTTAAGAAAATGTTAAAAGTATAAAATACCAATTATCATAGTAACATTATATTTTTAAACCCAAAAAGGAAAAACAACTAAACACACCTTCTTCTTTTTTTTGAGATAAAAAAAAGAGTCTTATTAATCTTGCTGGAATTTACCATTTGTGGTTGACAAAAAAGAGGAGAGTCAAACCACATTTCAAACGAGGAAATATTATTTTTCATGTAAAAAGGTATTTCATTAGGACTTCCTCCTCTAAAAACAAAATACCTCCTCCTGTTTTCAATCTTGCTTTTCCGTTGTCAATTTCCTTTTCTTGCAAATTTTAACAAGGAAAGCCGATTCTCTGATCCTCCCCCGCCACTGATTTTTTCATCTTGCTTTAGCACGAGGCTGTATCCAGTATACCCGGGGGCACCGTGCCCCCCTCCTATTTTTTTGCACGAGTAGTCCTTATTGTACCTTTTTATCAATCTTTCAATATTTTTCAATTTTAGTCCCTGTGACTTTTTTCCTTCTCTTCCAAAAAAAAACAGCTCTAATCTTTCAACGACCATATCTCATAATCCGTGAAGAATTTATGAACGATTTATATATGAAATTTATAGTACTCGTCGAGATCTATTCAACAAGATCCATATCCAATATTTTTTTCCAACTTAAAAATGATCAAATTTCTTTGGGCAGAATTAAGTTGGATATCCAGTACAAATAAGTTGGATAACCAACTTGTTCTAAATTAGTTATCCATCGTGTTCATGCTAATTATCCAATCGGTTTGAACTGGTTATCCATTTTGTTTCTACTGCTTATCCATTTGGTTATCCAACTTCTTAATTCAAAATAAGTTGGTTATTCATTTTGTTCATATTGATTATCCAATACGCTAATACTGGTTATCCAATGGATTTACATGCTTATCCAAGTTATTTGTACTGGTTATCCACTGTGTTCATGCTGATTATCCAACTTGTTTGTACTGGATATCCATCCATTTGGTTAGTATGCATATCCAACTCTAATCTTTCAACGAGCATATCTCCCAATCCGTGAAGAATTTGTGAACGAATTATATATGAAATTTATAGTACTCGTCGAGATCTATCCAACGAAATCCACAGTGCAAATTTTTTCGGGCTTAAAAATGACTTAATTCTGACGGGCAGAATAGAGGTGGTTATCCATCTTCTTTTTTTTTTTGAAGAGTGAATGTCAAACATATGATTGGATAACAAGTACGAACAGAATGGATAATCACTCCAAACCGGTTGGATAATCAGCATGAACACAACGGATAACCATTTTTTAAAGAAAAACGAAAAACACATTTCTTTAATTTCTGCCCATAAAATTTAAATACATTTAAAGTTCAAAAAAAAATTCAACATTGATCTTATCGGATAGATTTCGTCGAGCACTATAAATATCATATATAATTCGTGTTATAATTCTTTACGGATCAAAAGATACAAGGAACACAACGATATGCATGTAAAATAAGTTGGTTATCCATCTTCTTAAACTGGTTATCCACTGTGTTCATGTTGGTTATCCAACTTATTTGTACTGGATATCCATCCATTTGGTTTGTATGCATATCCAACTCTAATCTTTCAACGAGCATATCTCCCAATCCGTGAAGAATTTGTGAACAAATTATATATGAAATTTATAGTACTCGTCGAGATCTACCCAACGAAATCCACAGTGAACATTTTTTCGGGCTTAAAAATGACTTAATTCTGACGGGCAGAATAGAATAGAGGTGGATATCCACCTTTTTTTTTTTTTTGAAGAGTGAATGTCAAACATATGATTGGATAACAAGTACGAACAGAATGGATAATCAGTCCAAACCGATTGGATAACCATTTTTCAAAGAAAAACGAAAAACGCATTTCTTCATTTCTGCCCGTAAAATTTAAATGCATTTAAAGTTCAAAAAAAATATTCAACATGAATCTTATCGGATAGATCTCGTCGAGTACTATAAATTTCATATATAATTCATGTTATAATTCTTTACGAATCATTAGATACAAGGAAAGGAATAATATGAATGTAAAATAAGTTGGTTATCCATCTTTTTAAACTGGATATCCAATCTGTTCATACTGGTTATCCAACTTGTTTGTACTGGATATCCATCCATTTGGTTTGTATGCATATCCAACTCTAATCTTTCAACGAGCATATCTCCCAATCCGTGAAGAATTTGTGAACCAATTATATATGAAATTGATAGTACTCGTCGAGATCTATCCAACGAAATCCACAGTGAACATTTTTTCGGGCTTAAAAATGACTTAATTTCTGACGGGCAGAATAGAATAGAGGTGGTTATCCATCATCTTTTTTTTTTTTGAAGAGTGAATGTCAAACATATGATTGGATAACAAGTACGAACATAATGGATAATCACTCCAAACCGATTGGATAACCATTTTTCAAAGAAAAACGAAAAACGCATTTCTTCATTTTTGCCCGTAAAATTTAAATGCATTTAAAGTTCAAAAAAAAATATTCAACATGGATCTTATCGGATAGATCTCGTCGAGCACTATAAATTTCATATATAATTCGTGTTATAATTCTTTACGAATCAAACGATACAAGGAAGACAACAATATGAATGTAAAATAAGTTGGTTATCCATCTTGATTATTTATGTTAATACTGTTTATCCAACTAATTAGTATTATTTATCCAACCTGTTTTTTTTTTTATTTTTTTAAAAAATAATAAACTAAGTTGGTTATCCAACTCGTTTGTATTGGTTATCCAATCATTGGTTTGTATTGGATTATCCAATGCGCTAATGCTGGTTATCCAATGGATTTACATAGTTATCCAAATTGTTTGAACTGGTTATCCACTGTGTTCATACTGGTTATCCAACTCGTGCACACTGGTTATCCAACTTTCTGGATATCCAACTTATTCTGCCCAAAGAAATTTGATCATTTTTAAACTCAAAAAAAATATTCGAAATGGATTTCGTTGGATAGATCTCGACGAGTACTATAAATTTCATGTATAATTCGTTCACAAATTCTTCACGGATTGGAAGATATGCTCGTTGAAAGATTAGAGCTGTTTTTTTGAAGAGAAGGAAAAAAGTCACAGGGACTAGAATTGCAAAATATTGAAAGATTGATAAAAAGGTACAATAAGGACTACTCGTGCAAAAAATAGGAGGGGGGCACGGTGCCCCCGGGTATACTGGATAATTTGCCCTTTAGCACCGTTTAAAATATCCAAAATAATATTAACAAACCACTTATCATAAAATAAACTATTATCACCGGATTATTTATAGAGCGCGTGCGACGAATGCTCGAGCACTATAATTATACTAATTATATGGAACATATGGTCATTTTTTTTTTTTTTTGTGAAGATCATGCCCGGGTAAGTACTAGCTCTATTTTTATGATGTACCAGCTCTATGTAGCAGACTGGAGTCAATTGTGCATCGTACCCTTTTTCGTTCCTGCCTTGAAATCCAATCCGCAAAAATACTTCTCTTTTAAATTTGAACATAGATGCAATGTTTCTGAATAAGAGACAAACCCAAATGCTATAATTTAGTTAATTTCCATGAAAAAATACAAATAAAAAATGTTTATCCCAATTTCTAATGCTATCAAGTGTCAACCAGTCAAATCAACCCAAAATCCCAAAATGACTACTACTACTTTATTTTGAAGTAAGATAAGAAGGTTTGCACCACCACTGGATGCATGAAGACATACAACTAATGAACAAAGATGATGAACAAGATTTAACACGGAGATATAAGAATTGTATTTGTATTATGTCATGCAGGATTTCTTTGGCAGAATTTAGTGCCAAAACAGTATGCAATTTTTTGCATTGTTCAAATGCTAAATGCTGATTTTGTTAAATAAAATCAATAATTCGTTAAATCAATGGATATATGCTTGACCACTTAGAGCTACTAGGTCACTATATTTTCTATGCCCAAGAAATATGAAGAAGAGAACTTCGTAATCACGGTTTATATGGAAAAATAATCTTTATATTAACTTAGAATAAATAATATGATCAACTCATTACGAAAAAGATGTCGTTCATACCCAAAGTTTTGCCCTCGTTGTCAATCATACCCAATAGATTTTCGATTAGCCAATTTTACCCTAATGTTTGAAATTTTTGTCATTTTCGTCCAATCGGCTCATTTTCCGTCCAAATTAACGGATCTCCGTTAGTTTTCTAATAAAATAATAAATTTAATTACAAAAACACCCCAGTAATTTTTAAAAATTTTAAAAATAACCCTTAAAATATATAAATTTAACAAAACGGTCCCTTTTCACTTTTTTATTTTATTTTTTTCTATTTTGTTCCATTTCTCTCAACTACTTTTAATGACCATAAAAGTCTGTTATATGAGTTTTAAAAAAATATTTATTTATTTTCAAACTCTATCGTAAAAATTAATCCTTGTATAGTTGTAACCCATGATTGTATTTATATAAGCATGTTAATTTTTTTAATAATATAGTTTAGCAATAAAGAAACTATTTTTCTAATTTATTTTATTCTTCCTAACATAAATATTAAAAGCATTTAAATGAAACTAATATTCCACATAAAAATAAAATATTAGCTCAAATAAAAATATATATTAATATATTTTAGTGTATTAAAATTTAACTCAATAGACTATAACTTACATTAATATAATTCATAAAAAATAAATAAAATATAAAATAATTAAGACACTATTTTTCTGATTTTTTTATTCTTCCTAATATAAAGATTAAAAATATTTAAATGAAACTAATATTCCACATAAAAATAAAATATTTGTTCAAATAAAAAAAATATTAATATATTTTAGTGTATTACAATTTAACTAAAGAGACTATAACTTGAATTCATATAATTCATAAAAAAATAACTAAAATATAAAATAATTAAAACCTTAAAAAAATCCTCCAAACATAAGTTTTCCTTCTTGAATATAAAACCTATTTTCTATCACAACAACTTATTACAATATTGTTACCTCCATTTCATTTATTTAAACTAAAACCATATTGAATAAGCTAGTAAGACTTTCTCTATAGTTAGATATATTAACATCTCAAATAATTATTACAAAATGTGAAATCCTTGCATTGATAAGTGTAAACATATTTTTTATAAATTATATTATGCCATGCTCTCTAGTTAAATTGTAATATACTAAACTATACTAATATATTATTTTTTATTTGAGCTAATATTTTATTTTTATGTGGAATATTAGTTTCATTTAAATGTTTTTAATCTTTATGTTAGGAAGAATAAAATAAATCAGAAAAATAGTGTCTTTATTGATAAACTATATTATTAAAATATTAACATGTTTATATAAATACTATCATGTGTTACAACTATACAGAGATTAACTTTTACGGTAGAGTTTAAAAATAAATAAATATTTTTTTAAAGCTCATTTAATATACTTTTATGGTCATTAAAAGTAGTTGAGAGAAATGGAACAAAATGGAGAAAAATGAAATAAAAAGGTGAAAATAGACTATTTTGTTATTTTTATATATTTTAGGGGTTATTTTTAAAATTTTTACAAATTATTGGGGTGTTTTTATATTTAAATTTATTATTTTATTAAAAAATTAACGGAGATCCGTTAATTTGGACGGAAAATAGGCCGATTGGACGAAATTAGCGAAAATTTCAAACATTAGTGTAAAGCTGGCAAACCAAAAATCTATTGGGTATGATTGACGACGATTGCAAAATTTTGGGTAGGAACGATATTTTTTCCAACTCATTACTAACCCAATTCGATTTGACAGCATGAAAAAATCAGCATTAATTTTGGTCAAATAAATAATAAGATCAAATCAATACTTACCCTAATTTTTATTTTATCGAATAAACAATAAGTAGGAATAACTGTGATTAGTGCAAAAGCTCATACTAGCATTAACTCTAATTTTTATTTCAAAAATATTGCATAATTTTTATTCCAAAATGTCGATTACAGCAAAGACTCGGCGCCTCTGTATGAACCGTCAGCTTAATATACAAGATCATTTTGTTAAAAGGAAAAAAAAGATCCCATTGGTTAGAAGATAGCAATTAACTTGAGAAAGCTTTCACCTACTGAAGAGCAAATTCTGAATAAAAAAAAAAAGAAGGAAAAAGAATGTATGATTGGGCAAATTAGAATGGCTAAAGAATAAGAAACTAAAAAGAAATTTAAGGGGTTTATAAACTTGATCGATGTTAAACAAAGATTTGAGATTACTTGATAGTTCCAAAAATTACAATAATCTCTTATAAAATTTGCATATGAGATCGCCACAGCGCAATCATCCTATGCCCTCCAGATTGTATTATGTATACTCATAAATACTATATTAGCATTACATTTTTTGGGTTTAGTCATAAAATTGTTCTATTTTGTATGACATGCAATATTTTCATTTGTTATGTTGGCGGTTTATTTACTTTTATCATGGTAACATTTATACTCATCGAATTATTACATTTTCTCCGTAAAATTTAGAGAGTACTGCTATTGTATGGTAGATGCAATATCTTTACTTATAACGACAGGCAAAATTTACTTTTACTCATATAATATTTACTATTAAAAATTAATTATTTATTTGTATTTATCACATTTAAAAATATCAAATGTTTTTCATAGATGCATATGAATAAATCTCGCACATCGTGCGGATTTAACATCTAGTCTATTTAGTTAAGTCAATAGTGACAAGACGTGGTTTGAAAATGTTTGAAATGCTGAGGAAGTTTGAAGAATTGGATTTAAACGCATTCGGCAGCCTTTTTACACTAAAATTAAAGCTGTTGCTGGAAACAAAAAATTGATATTAACTGCACATCCATGAAAATAATTGCATATAAAAGCTGGCAAACTACTCTTGATTTAATAATTCCAACAATAATTTATCAACCCCTGGGTACGTAACCACCATCCACTACCAAATTATGCCCAGTCACAAATTTGGAATCATCACAAGCCAAAAACAACACCGCATCCGCAACATTTTCCGGTTTCAAATAACCCGACTTCTTCATAACAAAATCATCCTCGAATCTCTTCTCCAGCTCCTCCGGGCTCATCCCCATCGCCCCGCACGTCATCGGCGTTGCGATCGGGCCCGGTGCCACACAATTCACCCGAATCCCGTGTTCACCGAGCCCTTTACTCGCGCACCGGACCAGCCCCAAAACCGCGTGCTTCGACATCGTGTAATCAATACTGTGGGCCGATCCGCAATAAGCCATGACGCTGGCCGTGCAAATGATGCTCCCCCGATCGCCGCCGTCCACCATAGCCCGGCCCGCGTGTTTCACGCAGGCCGCCATTCCGCGGACGTTGACCGAGAAAAGTTTATCGTACGCGTCCAGATCGAAGCTCAGCGTGTCCTGCAGACCTTTGGTGACCATCCCGGCATTGCTGTACATGATGTCGAGTTGACCGTGTTTTTCCACCGTTGATTTCACGAGAGACTTGACTTGCTCCTCGTCGGTGACGTCGCACTTGATGAAATTGCAGCGATCCGATCCGATTGACTCCGCTACTTGACGGCCCTTTTCTTCTTGCACGTCCGCGATCACCACCGCGCGTGCACCGTGTTCGGCGAACTTACGGGCGGTGGCTTCCCCGATTCCACTTGCACCGCCGGTGATGATTGCCACTTTGCCATTTAACTTCTGGGTTGTGCAAGAGTTGCTCATTTTTTTGAGCAATACTGATCAAATAAAATAAATAATTCGGAAACTCTACAGTTGTGATGCGTTTAGTTATTATTATTAGCATCATGATTGAACTTTTGGTTGGGATTTATAGCCTTAGAGGCAACATGGGTTGAAGAATAAGACAGTTTATATTAATTAATTTAAATTAAGCCACCAAATTTGTCAGTTTGTGCTCTTGTGCTCGTAAGACACCTAAGTTATCCCGCGTTTTCTGCTGATTTTATGATAGGTAAAGACAAAATGGCCTGATAAAAAGCATCTTTTCGAAGTTTAATATTATTATCATATGAATTAAAATGTTTTTTCTGACTAGCTTCCCGTAGTGCGCTATCTTATTTAATCTTTACCCAGTCATTATATTGTCTGCTTCAGTATTTTCTATACATATGAAAAGCAAGAACTTATTTGGTGGCTTCAGACAGATTTAGAATCCAGAATAGTTGTGATAGTTGTTTCCTACACTGGTTGGATAATGTATAAAAAAAAATTGTCAGAAAGCCATGTTTATATCAGCACCGTATCATTATATCTTACTATATTAGAAACGAAAATTACATTTGAGAGAAAGCATCACTATTTACCATGTGTCATTTTCACATTGTATTTTTAAAATAAATTTTTATTTCCACATCTCCTAGACTTAAAAGGTAAATGCAGTCCAAATCCACCTCCACCTCCTATTTTCACAAAAACAAAAAAAAAAAAAACCAGGGGTTCATAAAAAATCCAAATCCTCATCCCCATCTCTACTAAAAATCCAAATCAATCCCTTCCCCACAATAAAAAAAAAAACAATAAATTCCTCATCAATCATCAATTGAGAATATGTGGTGAAATATACTCCATTCCAATTAGCATGTTCAATCTTTTCATTAGTGATGATCAATTACATCCTAATCGGATAAAATTTCGACTTCAAAAAATATTCTCTTTACCTCTCTATATAAACACAAAGGGAAAAAAAATAATTCTCATTGATCTTGCTTCGGCCGTTGTGGTGGTGCAATTACAGGTATTAAAATTTAAAAGATTTTATTTCAACAGATCATTTGTTTGGCTTTTATTATTTTTTATTTTTCCCATTCAAGAATAGTGTTATTACTATTATTTTTATGCGTTCATCAGTTACAGCTACCGTAGTCGTTGTCATGTAATATGATGTGATTTCTTATATGGTTAGTTAGCCTAGAATTTTTGTATGATTTTAGTTCTGTTTGAATTAAATTCATTAATTGGGTTTTTGTTACATAATGTTGTTTTTTTAATTTCTTTTTTATATTTCATTCAATTAGGGTGATTTTATTTTTTTAATTATGGAGTCTTGTTTTTTTTTTTTCATATATGGTCAATTATGAAGTGTGTTTTTTTTTGTTTAATTACTTTTGATTTTGTTTCATACTCGCAAGTGACCAATTATTATTATTATTATTATTATTATTATTATTATTATTATTATTATTATTATTATTTTATTTACAAATGAAGCGCGTTTTTTTTTTGTGTTCGGGCTTTCAAGAATATACTTTTTTGGATTTGATTTTTGGACTTTTTTTAGTTCCTCATCATATAAATAGTTCATGTCGCTTCTTCTAACTAATTTATGGGGAAGCCTTTTATGAATTTGAGGCGGAGAGGGAAGGAATGGTGTTTCTACGTTTATTTGTGTCTTTATACAAATAAATTTCTCAATTTTTAATGGGCTATCTTTTAATTTCTTTTTTTTTTCTTAATTTGCCACAGTGAGGTGAGTTCTTTTTTGCTATAACTTGAAACCTATGTAAATTTACATTATTTTCATTCTCATATTTGTGATCAACCAGTTTCAACAGTTAATCAGTTTCAAAATCATATTTTTGATATTTTACTACCTATAAACTTTTGGAAGAAATAGTTCCAACAATTAAGCGTATACCCTTGGGAGGAAGCTTACTACAAAGCTATTATAAATCTCCAAAACTAAGTATTGATTTGGCACAACCAATGGAGAACATCAATAAATTATCTTACTAATATTTAAACTTATTGGCATGCTTTCATATTTTCTCTAGCATTTACTTCAAGACATGTATTTGATCAAGTTTATTTATATTTAAAAAGTAACACTTATAAAACATTTCTAAAATCTTCAAACATTTCTAAAATGTACCGGACCAAACACAATTTCTTTTTATGCCAAATACAGGCATTTCTATGATCACACTTATAAAACATTTCTAAATTCTTTAAAAATTTCTAAAATATATCGGGCCAAATATAAAATACTTTTTTTCAGATACAAACATTTCTAAGATCTACACATATATTGGGCCAAGGTCGCTCATTGCCCGACAAGACATCACTAGTATATTAAAGGAAAGAAAGATAATCGACACGTGTCGCTAATTGAAGCCATCAAGTCTCAATTAGTACGTGTTATTTGCTAATTGGTTGATCATTAATCAGTTAAAATTTTATATAAACAGTTAATAACTATTATTTACTATATAAGATTTTTACATATATTACAAATTCTGGATTGAGAGCTTGAAAATGAATATTTTTAAAAATTGCTGAGAAAACCCCGACTTAAGAAGTCCTTGCATTTACGAGTTTAAACTTTTAACATATTATCATTTTGGCCCTTAAAGTTTCATTTGTGTGCTACTTAGTCTTTAAGTTTATCAATTTTACATTTCAAGGACGATTAATTGTGTCTCATATTTTATTAGAACTACATCTAATCCCCAAAGTCCCCTACCTATAAATAAGCCATAAGCATCTAGACACAATTTACGTATATTTTAAATATATTTTTTTAATCCAAACATAATATTAGTTAGTGGTGACAATTTTTATTAGACAATTTTTGAAAATCTTTATCGTAATATTTTTGACCAGATTTTACAAATATACATCTCATAAATAATATCAATGCCTCTCATTTTGTTCTAAAATTGATTAATCAAAAAAATATTATGGTTTTAAGAAATATTAGTATTTACATTATTTAATTAATTCTTTTGAAAGATACAATTTTCAATGTTGACAAACCCGCACAAAACGTGGGACACATACTAGTTAAAAAAAAAAGGAATAAAATTCTAAGAAAGCGATTGGATCTGTCCCATTATTAATTTATTGAGTTTGAAGAATCTGAGGGGAAATATCGGTCCATTGACGACCCCCAGAGGGAATGAATTCATGGAAATGCTACTGGTTAGATTTGTTTACTTAAGGTTATGAGCAGCAATCTGTTCAATGAAGGATTCCAATAGTGAAGAGATCCAAGACGGTTTTGATTTTCGCCGAGTAATTCTTCATTTAAAAGATTAAAAATATTACTCCATCTTTATTTTCTTCTCTTTTTTTTTTTTCAGATTAGCCGAGTAATACGGTGCATTTTTTTGAAAGGCTTTAAAATATTACAAGTGTAAGCTCTAAGATAAAAAGGATGATTAACTAAAGGAGATTTCACATGTGCACAAGTTGTTTACACTCGAAATGTTTCTTTGATCTTGTACCAAAAAAAAAGAAATGTTTCTTTGATCGATTTGTTTTCCCAATTTTTTCGGTCTGGTGCTAGTTTAGTAGGAAGAAAACCTTTTCTCACCAATGGAAATGGGACATATACCCTTTACCCCGACGCCAAATTTCTTTTTTTGGATTTCATTTTCATTAAGGAAAAAACAAATCAATTAAAATGAGGCCCACATTGGTCCCAAGCATAGTTTTCAAAATTCCGATCTGGATTTTAAAATCTTACGATCCTGCGATCCGCAATTAGGAAATCGATCCTTGATCTTATGAAATCCTTCTTTGTAGTGAGATCTTATGGAATCTTTCAAAATCTCAATCTGCATCGTAAGATTCTATGATCCAACGATCCTATTGATTTTATCGATACTTGTACAAGTTATTGATTTTGTATAAGAGGAGAAAATGATTAGAAAAGATATAAAAGTTGAAATTCTGAGTTTGATGATACGTATGTGGGCACTAGTCTACTTCTCCATAAAATTAAACAAGAATTAAATTAACAAATTGAAACTGGCAATTTCAAAATTATTATAATACTTTTAAGTAGTTACGATCTCACCGATCCGATCCCACCGATTCAGAATCCGATCCGATCTTGAGACGCCAAAACAATCGTGTGTGAAATTCCGATTTTGAAAACATTGGTCCCAAACTATTTTTCACATTCCTCGCAGCTCTAGCTTGAAGTGAATCATTAATCCTCACATTGTAAATCCTATTCCTCGCCATATCAACTACTAGTCCAGTCCAAACATTCAAAGATCTCTTTTTTAGCTCTTAATTTTTAAAACGTTTTTCTTTTGCCATAAAAGAATAAACCAACAAACCAAGCAAACTAGAAATACGCAGTATCATGATTAACAATCTCTCGTTTGGGCAACACGATACGCCAACATTCGTTTGGGTACTTATATATGATGATTATCTTTTAAACTTGTTCCTCCAACTATTCGACGTATTGAAGTTCTCCACGTGGGCTTAATTTTGGAGCTTTACTATTAAGGAATAAAAACACACTTTAATTTTCACTATTGTGAGGAACCAACAGTTTTAGGTTGTCTACCAAATGTACTGTGAAAGAGTGGTTGAAAATGTTCTGCCGTTAACTATAACCTGTGACTTGAGAATTCGTTATAATTATGGAACACGTTTAAATTTTTTTTGCTAGTTACTTTACCCAAAGTGCCTATAATTCAATAAATATGATTAAGTTACTGTTTTTAACAGTAAACATCTTACAAATATCAAATCTTTCGATTGTCGAATTTTTAAACCTAATTAAATACAGATTTTTCCAGATTCCAGAGATATCCATATCATAGATCAGAGGTTGCAGATATTTTAAAAAGAAAAAGTAATCCTGGATCCAAACAAATGATTAAAAAAAGAAAAAGAAAGAAAATAATGCAATAAATCTCGCCATTTGTTGGTCCGCCGCCAGCTAAGAGCAACGACCACCGTCAACCATCAGATTATGGCCCGTGATGAAACCAGAATCATCCGAAGCCAAAAACAGGACAGCCTCGGCAACATCTTCAGCTTTGAGCACAACCTCTTTCAAGTTTGTACCAGTTTGGAAAAGCTTCTCGATTTCCTCGGCACTTTCCTCCAAGGCTTCGCACGTCAACGGCGTCGCAACCACCGACGGCGAGACGCAGTTTACCCGAATCCCGTGTTTTCCGAGCTGTTTGCTCGCGCATCTCATCAGCCCCAAAACTGCGTGCTTCGACATGTGATATCCCGTCCACCACCCGATTCCGCCGGAGACGGCCGCCGTGCTCCCGGTGCAAACTATGCTCCCCTTTACGCCGAGCTCCACCATGGCCTTGGCCGCGTGTTTCACACACGCGGCCATGCCTCGAGCATTTACCGACCAAATAAGGTCTGTTTCGGACAGATTTAGGTCCAGGACAGGTGGGTCTTCATCAGGCTTTCTTAAGATTCCGGCGTTGCTGAACATGATGTGCAGTTTGCCGTAAGTTTGAACGGTGAATTCCACCATGGATTTTACTTCTTCTTCTTTCGTTACGTCGCAATGGACGTAGCTGCTGTTATTTGGCCCGATTGATTTGTTTACTATTCGACCCTTTTCGTCTTGGATGTCAGCGATCACAACTTTTGCTCCATGAATTGAGAAAAGTCTTGCTGTCGCTTCGCCGATGCCGCTTGCCCCTCCGGTGATGATGGCGACTTTGCCTTCTAGCTTTTTGGTGCCGGCAAAGGAATTTTGTGCCATTTCTTCCTCCTTTCAGAACACTGCAGAAGAAAGATGCACTGAGATATACTGTATATTAAGTACTCATTTATTCTTTTCCTCACGACTGAGTTGGAGCCAGGGCCGCAAGACTATTAGTTATTGAACGGTATTTAGACTTTAGTGTTTACTAACAATATTGGTGTTTTCTAATAAATGGAAACTTGTCCTATTCTATTCAGCATTTTGTCAACGTTAACAATGAAAGAACACGCAAAATATCATATCTGAGTGTAATATGAAAAGTGATACATCCATTGTACTTAAATAAACAAACATTCTGAATACGTGTCAGCATTACAAAGAAAATTTTTCTTCTAAAATCTTTTATAGTACAAAACTGAAACTACAACTGATTGACACGTGACTTCACCTATGCCCAACAAATCTTAGCAAAACGGAAGTTATGAACATTTAGAAAATTTTTCTTCTAAAATCTTTTATAGTACAAAAGTGAAACTACAACTGATTGACACGTGACTTCACCTATGCCCAACAAATCTTAGCAAAACGGAAGTTATGAAAAGCCTAATTTCCAGATAATGAATCAATTTGAATGATGATTCAAAGTTTGAAAATAAATAACCCCTCAATCTAAGGGAGAGATCCTATTCCATATATACATAAATACATACAGTTACAGTAATAAAATCGGCCCTATAATTTTTACTGACACCTTTTTAAATATTTTTTTGCTTCTGCTCCTAATTGTCTTTCATCCTATAGTTTTTTTTCGTGTGTGGAGGTAGTCAGTTTAGGATGTGGTTTTAGGTGTACTTATCCAGTTTGTTTTATTGAATGTCATTGGATATAGTCCCTTCTGATCTTTCCGAAGTCTTGCTTTGTTATACATACAGTTTCTTGATCTTTCAGCAATATTTAATGGAGGATCTAATCATAAAGCTTTCTTGAGAGCTAGCTGAAATGAACTTGGCTTAGGGATAATCTACTGAAAATTTCAGTAACGATCCCTTTTACTTGATGAAAGCAGTATTTTTATGTAACTGTCTCTTAAACTTTCATATGGGTGTCAAAGTGATTTTTTAAAGTCCTTTTTAACAGATTTGTTGTACTTGCTTGCTCAATTCAGTGATTTGGAATATTGCTCATACTGTCATCTTTTGTTTATTTATGGATTCCTTAAGAAATAGGAGCTTGGTGCAACAGATTGTTGCTTGATGTCCTTCGCGAAATTATAGTGCTCAAATGTACTACATGGATACTATCAGTTTTCTGCTGCCATTCTGTGCCTGATTAAGAGTGTTACAAAGGTTGGTGTTATGCAATGTATTTTTGGAAGTAAATATTAAAATGGCAATTGATGCTCGGGCAAAGATAATTGACACTATTGTTTTATGCTTTTTATTCTTTTCTTACATAATTACTTCGTAAAAAAGAATACATCATATACCCTTAGCTTAATATAACTGCTCCATCATGTGAAATGTTATCAAGCAATGTTCTTCACTTTTGGATAATATTAACGTTGTAGCCTCCGAAGCTGTCTCAAAAAAGCTTATGTGAGGAAAAAAAAAAAAAGCCTACAAGAAATTCATATGGAGCAACCCCGCGGCCAGCAATTATTCCTTGGAAGCCACTCCAGTGCACACATAATGTCAATTCCTGTGTACACATTGCCACCAATTCTTTCGCTCAAACATGCGTTTTACATCTTTAATTATATATTGTTTTAATTTACCAAAGGAAAATTTAATTTAATTAATAATATCATATAATAATTAAAAAAACATGTACCAACGCCCAGGAGCTCTTGTTTTGAAGACCAAAGAGAATGAAGTTTTTTGGGGGAAAAAAAAATAAACCCAGATCTAAACATCGTTTTTAACTTTGGTGTTACATATAATTCTGTAATTATATGATTGGCCCTCTCTTATATAATAATAGTCGTGATAGGCCCAATTTTTTAACTTTTTTTTTAATTGACATTCCATATTTTTTATATTTTATATTTGATTATTTTTTATGTAATTAAGTTAAATGAGAGGCGCCCGGGCCTCCCCGGGCCAATCATCTAATATTATTTATAATTTACTCTTTATTTATTTGGTTAAAAGGTAAAATATTTGATAGTTCAAAACTGTTCTTCTAACCCCATACGCCAATTTTCTTTTTTTGGAAACTTTGAATTTAATAAAGAAAAAATACAAAACAATCAAAAAGAGGCTTATCCCAAGCTTTTTTTCATCCTCGCAGCTCTGGAATGTGACAGAGTGGTTGAGATGGTTTCGCCGTTAACTATAACTATAAGCTGAGACTTAATTGGTAATCATGGAATAACCTTAGTTTTTTTGGTTAGTTACTTTACTCATGGAGAAGTACCTATAATTCAATACATACGATAAGTTACTGTTTTAACAGTAAAGAAAATATGAAATCTTTGAATTGTCGAATTTTTAAATTTAATTAAATACAGATTTTTTTCCAGAATTCCAGAGACTTCCATAGATCATAGGGAGGGTCGCGGATTTTTTTTTTTTTCTTCATATTTACAGAGTGTCCAGTGTCGATAACAGTGACTAATTTCCCTCGCTGAACTATAAGCACCTCGATGGGTGAGACAGTTGGTCAAAATATTTAAAGTTGCTCCACACTCATGGCGAGATTCGAACCCTGACCTATGTTTAAGGGTCGAAGAATCCCTTCCACTCCACCATAACTACTTTGGTTGGGTCGCGGATATTTTAAAAAGAAAAAAGTAATCCTGGATCCAAACAAATGATAACAAAGAAAAAGAAAGAAAAAAGAAGATAATACATTGAATCTCGCCAGTTGTTGGTAGCGGAAAGAGGATATATAAACGCCATAATAACAACGCGCCGCCAGCTAAGAGCAACGACCACCGTCAACCATCAAATTATGGCCGGTAATGAACCCAGAATCGTCCGAAGCCAAAAACAGGACAGCCTCGGCAACATCTTCAGCTTTGAGCACAACTTCTTTTAAGTTTGTCGCAGTTCGGAAAAGCTTCTCAATTTCCTCGGCACTTTTATCAAAGGCTTCGCACATCAACGGCGTCGCAACCACCGACGGCGAGACGCAGTTAACCCGAATCCCATGCTTCCCGAGCTGTTTACTCGCGCATCTCATGAGGCCCAAAACCGCGTGCTTCGACATGTGATAACCCGTCCACCCGATTCCGCCGCAGACCGCCGCCGTGCTTCCGGTGCAAACTATGCTCCCCTTTACGCCGAGCTCCACCATGGCTTTGGCCGCGTGTTTCACACAAGCCGCCATGCTTCGAGCATTTACCGACCAAGTAAGGTCTATTTCGGACAGATTTAGGTCCAGGATAGGTGGGTCTTGATCGAGCTTTCTTAAGATTCCGGCGTTGCTGAACATGATATCCACTTTGCCGTAAGTTTGAACAGTGGATTCCACCATGGATTTCACTTCTTCTTCCTTGGTGACGTCGCAATGGACGTAGCTGCAGTTGTTTGGCCCGATTGATTCGGTTATTATTCGACCCTTTTCGTCTTGGACGTCGGCGATTACAACTTTTGCTCCATGAATTGAGAAAAGTCTTGCTGTTGCTTCGCCTATGCCGCTTGCGCCTCCGGTGATAATGGCGACTTTACCTTCTAGCTTTTTGGTGCCGGCAAAGGATTTTTGTGCCATTTCTTCCTTTTAGAACACTGAAGAAGAAAGAAGAAGCAATGAGATATACTGTATATAAGTGCTCATTTATTATTTTCCACATGGTTGAGTTGGTCAGTTGGGGCCCTAATTGCCTAAACAATTGCCGGGTTAACACATGGCTATTAGTTATTGAACAGTGTTTAGACTTTAGTGTTTACTTACAGTATTTGTATTTTCTAATAATAGAAACTTGTCATATTCTATTATACAAGTTGTCAATGTTACCCAAAAAAAAAAAAAGAAGCATGCAAAATATCATGGAGAAATCGATACATATCATCTATAACTTACTCTTTCTATTCCCAGAAAATAAACAACATTGTAATTTGTAAAGTACAATTTACCAATTATAATGTGAATTTATTTTTTTCAAAGACAAAAGGAGTACGAGAAAAGTATCATGATGATCTAAAATGTATATTTAACAATTAATTATAGCAAAAGTACCAAAAAGTTGATCTTTGTCTTCATTTGATACAAATGTTTAAAAATAGACCACGCGTGACTAGAAACTTAACTAGTGTCACATTTTGCTTTTCCGTAAGATTTTCGCCCAAAATCTAACAGTCAACGCCCACGTGAAAAGCTCGTGGATTGACCAAAGGATATTTACCTTTTCACAATAAAATAAAAAAATATTAAAAAATCATTATCATTACAAACCAAATTGTCCTCCACCACTCCCAAAATTAATCTCTTCCGCCACCACGCCACCACCCCCTCCTAAACCCACCTCATAATTGTGCATTGTCGCCTCCACCGCCTCCTCCATCACCACTTCGCCGCCAACTCAATCACCACCTCCTCGTCCTTCTTCCCCTCTATCGCCATCCCTCCTCCTCCCGCCGCTGCCTTTTCTTCCACCAATCCCCACCTTATCGATACACCGGCTTCAAGATTCATTCACATCAGCAATTCTTTTTTTTCTTTTTCTTGTTCCGCCATTGCTTTCGAATCAGAAGAGAATGTATGGGTTGTTGTGATGTGAAAATATATTTCTTTATGTGGGAATTGCAGAATAGAGTGCTACTTGAATTTTATATCTTTGCATGATTGGTATTTTTGTTCATGTATTTTTCTGGATCATTTGGGTATTAGGTTAGAGGATTGAGGTTTTCAATGAGAAAAGGAGAAGATGTGAACTTTGGAATCCATTTTTAAGTAAAACGTCGCCGTTTTGCAAATGGGTGAAAGGTTTAGGAGGGGGTGGCAGGGGAGGAGATTTCTGTTTGGGTAGAGCAGATCGTGTTTCCATGATTGTCCTCCAGTCTTCTTTTGTTGCTATAAATGTGTTATCTTGAATTTAGGTTTGCTGTAAAATGATAGGAATTTCCATCTTCTGTAAAATGTCGTTAATTGAAGCCACAATTACAGCCGAACTCGGCCGTTGGGCAGATTTTGGGATATCAATTTTGAAATCCACGGGGGTAGGATTAGTATTTTTGCTCTGAACTGAGTTTATGGTTAGCTTGGAATGTACTGTATTCATAATATTGGATTCTGGTTTTTGAAAGATTGCCCAACAAGCTTATTTGGGTTGACTTCTACCTGGGTTTACTTGGCCGCCTAATCTGGGTTTTGAATGACAATAGTGAGCTGAAATTGAGGGATTCCTTTGGATTTCAGATCATCGGAGAAGGAGGTGGCAAAGGACAAGTCGAATTTAACTTATTTTTTTTTTTTAAAAAAAAAAGCAAATTTAAGGTTTTAATAAATAATTTTTTATTTTATTTTTGAAAAGTCAAAATTACCCTTTGGTCAATACACGTGCCGTTCACGTGAAAAATGAGTTGACCGTTAATTTTTGGACGGATCCCTAACAAAAGATCGATTGGTGACACTCTTTAACTTTCTAGTGGAGTGTGGTCTATTTTTAAATATTTGGTATCAAACAAAGACAAGGAGCAACTTTTTCGTACTTTTGCTGTAATTAATTGTATATTTAATATCCAAATTGTTTGGACAAAAAATCCCAGCTCGTCATCGTAAAAGTTACCTCACCTGTTTATAAACTCCTTGAGCTACCCCATTCTTTGACAATTGGTTTTGAGATGAGAATCCAAATGACTTTGATATGATATTAGAATCCACGACCTGTGGACCCGTGAACGGACTAGTGATTAACTCAGTAGTATATCTGGGCTTGTGGATTGACCCGACAGTATATCCGAAATTGTGGACTATTGTGTGTTGGATGGTAGACTAACTCGGCAGCATATTCAAAGTCGTGGGTCCGTTTGTGCGGACTTGTAGACTGACTTTATCACTTTTCTTTTCTTTTAATACTGAGGAGGCTAAAAGGATTCAAACTGTTGGAATTCTACTTCAAGAATAGTGGACAACAATGGCTGCACTAGATCAAAGAACAAGAGGAAGAATTTATGGTTAGGACGAAAGAAAGTTTTGTCTCCAAGTCACAAGTAAACTTTCTTTCCTTTAGGCTAAATTCGCCCACTATACAGTGCAATTGTCTAGCCGAATTCCCTATGAGATAAAATGAAGATCATGTTGTTTCAATATGCACTTTAGTTAACCAACAACCTAATACAAGGATAAGAAATGTCATTGGAAATATTCCAAGTATTTGATGATTTCATTGTACACTAAAAGCATCCAAATGATCCATATTTATAGAGTTAGAGGAAACTCTTGAGGATTAGATGTAACCTTTGGTTATGGTCCTAGACATAACTTTTCGTTAATGTCTTTTCATATAGAGTTCATAGGCCCAACCTATTAGTTGTGTCTTTACAATATATTGAAAACACTCAATAGCCACAACATATTAATTGTGTCCCTACAATATATTGAAAATAACTCCAACAATCCCCAGCCATTTTTAATATATTGAAAATGATTTTTAAATGGATCTAGAATAATTCCAGCAAAACCCATGCATAAAATAATGGTGTTGTTAGACTTGAACCACTACCTTAGTGTCAGTTTCATAACTTCTAGTACAACCCGGTAGACTAGCTTTGAACCGTGCGTACATGTTACAAGCCACTATTGTCAACACACATAGGTTTCTTTCTGCTCAACTTGCCTGCACCTTACCAGTACGTATGGTACGTAAGGTCTTGTACCCATATCTCTTCATGAATGTTAACAAAGCCAAATTCCAAGCTTTGTGGATGCCCAATCCGACATTCATATAGGCAAACTTCTTAATGCTCCCGCCATTTTAGCATTTACAAGAGTTTGTTAAGAGTCAATTCTCAACCTGATACCCAGCCGGGAATATACGGCACTAACTACTTTGGGATAAATATTGTAGTGCTCAATTACTTGTACATTATACTATCGCTCATTGAATTCAAGACTAGAGTATTTACTAGCGTTGAATTGAGGTTCCAATACAAGTAATCATTTCTGAACTTTACACATATCCCTTTAACTCATTCAGTCTTTAGACCAAATGTCATTCAATATTTAGCCCTTACTTATGAGTTTGTTAACTCAAATTTTAAGGATCATTTCTTCACACGAGTCTATTGACTCAAATCTTGTTAAGAATTTTAATTCTTAACCTGAGTTCATTAACTCATCTTGTGATCATAATTTAAGTAATAATACATGCAAACTGTTAATTAATATGATCATATTTAGGAAATTGAAGAACCAGTCTGTTCTTTCAAACTTTGCAATCAACCCAACAATGAAATCATCTTCCCTAATATGAAGTTTTGAAATCACCATGTCACGATTTCTTTCTTCATATTCCTGGAAAAATTAGCTCCATTTCTCTTGTTACAAGCATTTTACACTTGAGCTCTTAGTGTCATTCTTTGTTACAATATGGTAGCTTTCCTAATACCTGATTCATTGTTAATTTAGTTGATATGATTTCGAACATGGACTTGATGCTTCGTCCATTTTCCACAATGTGGACTTAGGTTAAGGATCATTCTCCTTTTTAACTTTAATAGAGAATTTTTCATTCTCTTCAAACTCTTTTATTATATATAAAGAGTTCCAAGTTTCCAAACATATAATCTCATTTTTTCCTTTGAGATCTCATGGAAGCTTTAAAGTATTGACATAAACAACTCAAACATATAGTAAGACATGAATTTCAAAACATATATTAACACATATGATATAAATTCATAACTATATCACTATTGTCATACTATGTATCACATGAAATTATCATATAAATTGCAAATTCATTTATGCAATTAAATACTCCATGTAACAAACACAAATACACGAAATTAGCACTTTATTGGGATCAAAGTTCTTTATTTGATTAACTCAAAATCAAATAATTAATATGTGATACACTCACAAAAATTCTGCACACAAGAATTTATTTTATTTTATTTTGATTTTCTTAGGTTTCGGTCGTTGACTTTTCTATCGACTTTATCCAGGCGACGACTAAGTGGACGAGGCCAAACAGCCAAACACTTTAACGGATGGTTGATTTTTCTGTCAACTTTAATTCTATGGACGAACAAGTCGACAAAGCCAAATAGTCAGACATATCAACGAACGAGAACTTCTATGTCAACTTTACTCTAGTCGACAAAGCCAAACAAAACACCGAATAAATTCCAACAGATTTCGACTTTATAAAACTTTATAACATGCACTCAAAGCACTATTGCTATATCAAATGCCAATTTTGCATTTCCATTTCAAAGCATGATAAAAACATGACTAAATTCTCTATCAAACCTTTTATGACATACATTTACTTAATTAATCATCACATTAACTAAGTATTTTATTTTTATAGAAACCACACATTTGGGCAATCAACAAATAATGCATAGTAAATTTCTTTTACATGCAAAAGTTCATGAATTCTACAATCATGTTCCACTGAGACATAGATCTCATCACTACGTTCATGTATTTATTGAATATATACATACCTTGAACTTGGAATGTCACAACTCACAAGTAAAATATAATTCTTACTTTGGTGACGAGGTCCATTGTATCCTATCATTGCCCTTTCCATTAAATCCAATGATCTGCAACATTTCTA